CCCCCCCCCCCCCCCCCCCCCGCGCGCTCATGCCAGCGCGCACTCGACACGAAGCGCGATCCTCAACCCGTATATTGACGACGATATCGGCGTTGAACAGTCTAGAACGGATATCCAGAAATTGGTCACTGGGATGAAGAGCGCCCAGCGCACTCTTAGTGGGGCTGCACGACACGCGGCCGAACAGCGGTGTATCGCCGAATTCGTGGGTACCCCCTACGGGAGACTCGCACGAAAGAAGCTGATGAGAGACGGGAAGGTATGCGTCCCGCTGTTCGCTTCAGAGCAGGAGGCCCGCACGAAGACATCATCAATGGCATCGGCTGTGGCGCGGCTCGTGGAAGACACGGACGGTTCTGTCAAGAGTGTCATGTTGAAAAGGAGATACACGAGAATAAAGGGTCAGGACAGGCTCATGATTCCCCTTAGTGATCTGGGCACTGATTTTGGTAGTGTCTCCGGTGACATGGAAGATACGCTGGTGTACGTGCTGTGGGCTCTCGACAACCCGGGGTACGATCGGATCCTCGCGGAGATAAGCACTTGCTTGCTCAGTCTAGAGGGACTCTTGGCACAGGTGAAGTGAACATCGGCTCAGTAGCGATGTGTTTCGTGCGGGTTTCTCGACGCTGTTCACGCATGGTCACCCGGCAAAACACCATTTCACCTATTTTTTCTTTCGCACCGCTCCGTGTCTCGCACCAATGGTCCGACCGACGGCAGGTTTTCCACCGGGACCAGGTATTGGAGAAGATCACCGATCAGATGGCGGGCCGAACACAGGCGGGGACTCGCGGAAACAGTCGACCTCAGCCGCCTCCGTATTCCGCGTTGTGTGCGGTTCAAGAGGGGACTATCCTTCGTATCGTGGATGGCAGCCATCTTGATGTCCACAAGAACTACGAGCAGGGTAGCGCCGTCGAATGCCAGATTCCGCGTGGATGGGGATTACTATGGCATGGTCTATCCGTACACGGCGGCGACGGTTGTACTGCTGCATGGCTTGCTCGTCTCCACATCTTTCTCCGTGCGCTTGGTTGTCCGCAGGCGGCAACGGGAAAAATAGACTTGGTCGACTGAGTGTGCATGATATGAGTAACAATAGACTTGGTGTTATCTTTGTAACTGTGGCATGAGTAAGCACCTCCGGCTTCAACCACAGAAGGCCATCGCCAGGTCGGAGCTTTTCTCCCGGCTGGATATCAGCATTGAGCTCTTGCGACGATAGCATCCCTGTCTCGTTAGGGTGGATCTCTGTAGAGGCCAACACTCCCTCCATTTCAGACAGAACTTGCTCCGAAGTGGGAATATCCCGTTTCTGGGTGATTCGACAAGTTACGGTGAAGTCACGAATTGGTACACTGCTTTTTGCCGCATGTGTTCCGACGTACGATAGTACCGCAATTGTGCGTCTGATGGCACACATCGTGGTTTTGGCACCGGGCGCGCGGATACATCGATCACGGAACGGTGTAATTGCATTTACCGCACCGGTATTGGTGTTTACGCACCCATGTGTGTTACGGCACCAGGGCGCGATAAAGGAACAAGACAGAAAGGATTTAGAAACCGATCGCACCCGGTACCATAGCACACACAATAACGGTACATGCCTGCAGCTCGCAACTGGCTGCCTACGATCTACCCGTTCCCGTCGGAGAGGTCGTGCGCGACCATTTCGCCTACACTGAGCTGGTTGTGGTTCATGTGCGAGACCCCCGAGCCCGACCAACACGCCAAGAGCAGCGGCAGTGGGAGCAGGACGGGCGCTGATGCGTGCTGCATGCCGGTGTGTGTGTGGAGTGTGGAGGTCGATGGTGATCGTCTCCGGAAATAAATATAATGACCTCGACAACGAGTCAATCTGAGCCACCGCATGTCTACAGCAGGTACTGGCTATTATCACGTCACCGACAAGAGCAGATTATCGAACAACAGTAAGAACTCTTTGAATCGTCCCAGGTAAACATAACTGCTTGTAGTTCTAGGATGTTCACAGCGTGGACTGAGATCGGCTCTAGAAGCTCGGTCTTTACCTCTTCTTACTGTTGTTTTTGTCTTCACTTTAATATCGATCCGACCTCGGCACCCGGTGCCTTATTCTGTCCATACTTCGTAGTACAAGACTTTACGCGGTCGATTCCCGTGGTCACAGGAAAACTAAACTATAACAAAACACAGGAAAACACAAAAGACCCCAACAAAAGCAAGTCGGTAGCAATCAACGACAGATAGTCTAGGACAACACGCTCGCCTATACGCACTAAGCGAGGTAAGACTAGACTGGCAAAAAGGACAGGAAAGCAAGAGAAAAGTCCAAAGAACAGAACGGACAGAGACAAGGGAAAGAGACAACGTGTGGGCTATGCTCATGACAACGACACGGAAATAAAAAGGCAACACACCAATACCTCAGCGACACGTACACGACCGCTGTCTCTGAGTCTCCGTGCGGAAACAGACGTCTGCTTCCGCGCACAGAGGTAGGGCCTACAGAGGGGACAACACTTTCACGCCACGAGACACTAAGAACGACCGCCTGGCGCTCGTCATTTGGCCATTGAGCCTGACGCCGCCCGTGTTCGGAAGCACGCGCGGGGACTCCGACCTACCATACACTTGCGTCTCATTATTCAAAGGGTGCTAAATCAGAAAGAAGAACAGGCACAAGACTCTTATGTTACTTGGGTGCCCTTCCGGCGTCTCGTATTTTTCGTACGGAACACACCCGGGCGTGCTGTTCAGTTGTTGCCGTAGCTTGACGTTACAGCCAGGCATTGCGTCGCTACGTACTGAAGATGGTGTACCGCTGTAGATTTGCACGGCCTGTTCAGGTCCCTGGTGATGAAGCAGACCCCTGCACAGGCGTGCTGGCAGATGCCGGAACAGGCGCGCTTATGGCGGCCGGAGCAGCGGTCCCGAGACCCGCTTCGAGACTAGATGCTGTGGTGAAAAAATCAGCTTCGTTCAAGACGGTGCCCATATCTTCGAGAAGTTTCATGTTCCTGCATACTCCACGAATTCAAAAGCGAGCACGGAAAGAATGTCGGGGCGTGAGTCCACGGGGGGCGTTCCGAGGTCGAGTCAGCGGAACAGGACGTATGTGACGAGAGGCATGGACCTCGTGTTGCTGTGGCAGAGGTGATACAGAATATACCGATAGACGATGTACATAGACCGCGTGGTGTCCTCCCCTGACGTATAGGTACCTTCCTTGTGCTTCCGTTTCGACTGCAGGAAATACTGCCGACCCTCTGGCCGTCATCTCCTGTTCTTCGGCGATCCCTTGCCCAGAATTTCAATCATACGTCTGGCTTGTCCAGGGAGACCTTGGTGCCAACTGTAACGTTACCGAGGAAGTCAAGCCGGCTGTAATACAGCGTCGTTTTTGGGTACTTTGGTGACAACCAGGCAGACGGGATTGACTGCAGGAGAAGCAATCCGGTACGTCAATCGACACCACCAGCGTCGTGCGCGTCGGAATGTCATCTCAAACTATAGATCGTTTCGATGTAGTGGGGAAGCAAAGAACGGAATAAGCGACCTCTACGGATGTTTACAACACACTTGTGCATGACATGGTCGGCCTAACCTTTCAAATGTCTTCGCGCTCCCGTTAGAAATTGTGGGCCAACGCCCCCTTCCCTGGTGCCCGTCGCTTCAGATCGAGATAAACGGCGATGGTCATCCTCATGTAACCCACCGAAGGATGCCGAACTAGGACTCGCTCGGCCAGTGTATCGAGAAGATCTTCTATCCCTGACGGCCGCGAGGTAACAGACATGGGGTTGGTAGATGCAGGGGTGGGCGTTGATGGTCAGGATTACTTGTCATCCCCGTGCTTCTCGTGGCATCATCAACAACGCATTTCCCAAATGCATACGAGACTGTAATCTACATGCCGGTGTGGGAAGAACATATAAGCTAGGATTTTATTTTCGGTTCAGCATTGTGGACCAGACGCGGACGGCCAAAGAACGTTCGGATACGGCGACGACCACGACTGGATGGGACACCCGGTGCGACGACGAACTGTGCTTGAATGCGATGCGAACAACCGGGCGCGTGCCGTGTACCTGCCACATGGTGCTGCCGACCGACGGGTGCATGGAAAGCTCTCACTGCTATACGTGGTTACCGGCGCATCCTCGGGACACACACTTCACGTGGTAGTACTGCTCTTGCGCTACGGTACATACGAAGAGACAAAGACATCACACTGACAAACGAGGCAGACGCACAAGAGTGGCAGGTGGTAGTGAAAATAGGCCCATTTGCGCACAAGCACCAGCTCCTCGTTGGCGCAGCACATCACAACACACGCCTTGGGTTGTGTAGATCGATAGTTGATTAAATCTTAAATACACAAACGACACACGCACCTGTACACCAACCGCCCCGGTATATCCGCGAGTACGCTCTAGCACTTCGTGAAGGCAGTGTAGACATAATTACGAACATCCGGATGCCAAATTATGTACAGCAAAAGAAATGATGCCCTCGGTCAGTACGCCTATCGCGAGGTGCGTACCTTCGTTGAATTGAGTCGCATTACGATTGGCATGATGCACGGCATAACTCGGGGGTACACCAGGCAGGGGCGGCGGGGGCTGCCGGTGAACATGGTGACTCTGGTCGAAGGCTAAGCGTTGACGTCCAGAACCACCGGGCGGGGGGCGAGTCTCGCCCCAGCAGCCGGTGTGGGCGTGCTGGGTGGCAATACCGGCGGGTGGTGGTGTGTGCAGGAAGGTCGTTGCAGACGTACGGCTGGGAGGTTGCTGCAACCCATCTCCCGCAGGACGGGACTCGTCGAGCGACTCCCTGCCCTGCATCGCCGAGTTTACGCTGCGCCGTGACTCGGCGTATGAGCGTCCGCCGCCGCCACCGGTCGCAGCTGCGGCGGGGAGTGGTGCTCCGACAGATCGCTGCCTTTGCATATCCTCGTAGGTAGCGACTTGGACCTCTGCCTTCCGTATGAAGTCATGCACTTGCTCGCCCTCTCTGCGGTACTTGTAGAAAGTCTGGACCCTGATCCTCGCTGTGGTGATCTGGTCGGGTTCTGGCGACGTCGTCGTCGGCATGTCCGGATGATGAGCCTGTTAAGGGGGCAAGGCAAGAGGGTAGTGTCCCACGTGTAAATGCTTTAGTGTAGGACATCGAGGAGGACATCAATGCGTACCAAATACGGTCCCATCCGCGTGGGAGAGTTACGACCTGTTTCCCGCAATGAGCGACACATACCTCTTCGTACAGGTAGAGGCCGTATAGGTTTTCTACATACGAAACGGCGGCTCGCGCTTACGGGCGGATGGCGTTCAATCCCACGCGCAGCCTCAAATAACAAGTTAGATCATATCCGCGCAGCACACGTCGGCCGTAGTAGCATATCATTAACAAGACAGTTAGGTTTGGCGCAGCTTTGGTAGGACGCACAGCGTATCAACTGCAGCAGCAGTAATCACCCCTGTTACACGGCACACGGCACTTCCCGACAGCAAATATTATCTGTTCCTTTTCGCGGATACGTTTGGCATCAAACTCTCGGGATTTCCGTACGGTCGGAGACAATGCACCCTGACTACTACAACCGCCCATGCACGTTGGGTGTTCCTGCCAACCGCAACCAAAGCAGGGGGTGTGTGGGTGTGGGTGTAGCGGCCTCTGCTTGTCGTGCGGCCAGTACACAAACGGTCGAACTACGATCATATGTATACCCACCCCCAAAGCACAGCCTTCTTCATAAGGTTACGTGATGACACAAACATTCAAGGCCTCTTCGGGCGTGGGTGGCCGTGGTCCCGCGGGTGACGCGAGACCACACGCGCATTGCCCGAACAGGGGCCGTTTCTAGTAATAGCGGTGGGCCTTTCCGTATCGCTCCTCATTTGGACATCGACATCGCGATCAATTTTGTTATTAAAAGAAAAAAAAACCCAAGACATGTCCTTTGTCTGAACTTGTTGTACACATGGAACACACGGAGGAGGGGCAAATGACGCCGAGCTAGCGTGAAACCCGAACCAACTCACCGGGGACATGGCGGCGTTGTTGGAATCCACTAAGTCCGAGCCGTTCTGCCCTCCTAGCGCCGGGGGTGCGAAGATACTTCCGGTGGACGTTCCCACGGGCGCAACCACCGAACCTTGCTCATGTGATGCGACAAACGTGACCTGCCCGTTAAGACGGAGGATCGCGGAGACAATATGAACGGTGCCCCATCTACGTCCACTACGTAGCATTAGTGGTGCCCCCCCAACCCCCCCCGGCACACACACCCGCAGTAACTACGAAACACGAACAACGACACTCCCGTGTCGAACGACGGCGTCGGAGGTTGGAGCAGGGCAAGTACTCAGATGAACACACCTCCTCATTTCGGCATCCTCTTCGTTGTGCAGTAAACGATCTTTGTCGATTGGTCTCGCGGGTGTAAAGGACTGTGTGTATCGTACGTACATGTATATATATCTGTACCTATAAAACAAAACTTTGTAGGCCGTTGTTGTCGTGGTCGTGGTCGTGGTCGTCGTTGTATATATGTATATGTGGTTAAAACGAGGGGCCCTCGGAGACCCCGCTGTTGTATGCTTTCGTGGTCTGCGCGACTGGCGCGCCCCAAGAGACAGGCTTCGCCTCGGGAAGTACAATGAAGTGAACATGGTATGGATTTGCGTACGTGCGAGGTCGGGAAGAAGAGCAACGCCATACCTATCAAAACACATCGACACCGGGGTGGTCAATAGATGGGGGATGCGAATGTCAACCACACGCTATAAGACGGATACAGATAGACTCGACGGAAGGTATGGTCACAGACGGTGACAATCGGAACGTTTTACACCGGGCACCGTGCGGACGGATACACAAACGACAAGCGGCGGCGCCTCGCGATGGTGTAGTCTATGCGTTCAACGGACAACAGTAAGTGCTCGTTTGGATTTCCGTCTGACCTAGACTAGAGGGCCTTCGTCCAAACACACGTATAGACTAACGCACGGTACATCGCATGGGCCCACGACTACACAGCGAATACCTGTTCTAAACCTAGCGAAGAGCATGTTCAGGTCGAAAAACATCCCTCTTATCATAGGCCTCGACGGAGGAACGAAAGGTCCATCTATGATCGATTGGCTGCTACGGGAAATCCAAAATTGCGGCCATCGTACATGTAACTCACCGACGGGGCGGCGGGTGGGTTGTTCGGTACCTCTGACTCGTCCTGCATTCCTTGCGCTTGTGCCGCCGGGGTCTCATCGCTTGGGATGCCCGCGGGACCTCCTTCGCGTCGCCCAGGAAGTAGAGACTGCAAGGGACAACCCCCAACCCATTACGAAAGGTTTTTATCACGTGTGGCTAAATACGTAGGGTATCAAACGGGATAGATGTGCATCCTCGCTTTTCAGATCCAATTGTTTGGAGGGAAAACGCGATCTAACCCATGTTGACGTAAATGCCGGCAGTCGGGTGCCGGGATGTTGGTACGGGTAAACTGACGGGCGGCAAATCAGTGCGCGGACGTGTGACGATATGCGTGCCAATGGTTCGCGTCCAGCACTAAGCAAAGGTTGCAAACCTGTCTCAGATTCTTTTCCTAAACATAGAGATGGATTCGTAGATTAAATGCTAGGAAAAACGTAAAAACTAAAACGCAAAAACTAATCCTACATGCTTGTTTTGTGCTTGCACTTTTTGCAACCGCCGCGTCTTTCGACGAGTGACCTACATGTACAGGAGGATATCAATAGTGCCCGCTACCAGCCTGCTCACCGCAAGCCTGCCCGCCTGTACAATCCTGGTGTCGCTGTCTGCCCTGCTCCCGCCACCTGCTTCGTTCGCGCTGGAAGCTGCGAGTGCCGCTTGTAGGCTATCAACCCTCTCTCGTTGTGCGGCGAGTGACGTTCGTTCTCCCGCCGCGCGCCGCTCAGCCCGTTCGCTCGCGGAATCCGTAACGCGTGGCCCGACAGTGGGGTGGTGCCTCGGTAGTGGAGCTGTGCGTAATGACTGGGCGTCGGTAGCGGAAAGGGGAGCCACTCCTGAGGAGGACCCCGAATATTGCTGCTCTCGACGTCGCCCGTTGGTTCTTGTATCAGCTCGAGAGGTGAATGGTTGCCCCCCCCCGGAATCGCCCCGTATCGACACGTCCGTCCCAGCGCTCGCGCCAGGGCTGCGGAGTACAGGCGCTGCCGTTCTAGAACGGGTAGTGACTGACGGCGCGTTGGGCGCCAACGCCGGGGAAGCAGAGTCCCCGGCCGAGTCGCGTATCGACCGCCTAGAACTAGCAAGGGTATGAATACAAACGAAGGAAACATTTCGGGAAGAGATTGGGGACAGCGGATACGATATTTTTCTTTAGTTCACAACTCAATCGCATACAGAGCCCACATACGTCAATGTTGCATCGTATACCGCAGCTAAAAGGATTCCGTGCTCCTTAAACATCACCCGGTCAGGACCAGCAAACAACGGTGTCTAGTCTGGTACCGTCACCGCCCTAACTACGATAGTGTTCGCGATGATGTTGTACACAAACTGTTCGTTACGAAACTCGCAATGGTGCAACAAGCATGAAGAAAATACGCCACAGAAAGACATCTCACATCGGGTTCGAGCACCCAAGGAGGCCGGGGCTGTACGTGCTGTTGTCTGAACAGCTTGGCTGGGGCGAGGCTCCTGGCGCTCTACGGCTCTAGTCTTCTCAATAATCGCTCCCATGTCGCTCAAGTCATGTTCACTAAGCCGGAAGTCTTCTAGTTCCACTTGACCGCCGCAAAGCCTCTCAAGCCCGAGGTGCACGACCCGTGCGACAAAGGTGTCCACGGAACTGCCCTCATCCGCTCCTGATTCCGTCGGTAAAATACGGTGAATCCGCATCAGCAGCTGATCCCTGCGCGAGATGTTTTGCCCGTTCACTAGTGTCACAGTCCCGGTGACGCGCACCTGACTCAAGGCTTCCTTCACGAATGTCAGAACCGCCCGACCCGCGCGATCACTCGGGACACAATCGACAAGTCTAAATCGCGCATCCAATCCGACCGTCTGGGAGTTTGGGTCCTCGCTACGACGCGCATATTGAAAGTCGTGCGTAATTGAAGTGGCGACGAAGCTAACGAGGCCCCTAAGTCCGACATCGACCCTAGACGCAGTAGTAGTGACGCTCTCCACCCGATGATCAGGGTCTGCTGACATAGTTGGATGGTTGGTGTTCCGGTGGTCGGCAAATAGGCTTCCATTGCTGGTGCCCGGACCAATCTTGCTGGGACCAATCAATACATGTTGTACGCTCACTATGTATGTACTTACGTACCACTTTTTCACTGCACGGCGCCCCCATCTTCACGAGCAGTTGCAGTTACACAGGACGGCGACGTCAGACTACAAACCCTACGTCCAGCGAACACAGAGGAACAAGAATTACACAAACATAAAAGCCTACCTGTGACGACGTGCCTGACGTGGGGTCATCGCCAAACTGGTGAGTGCTGTAGCCGAGGGCCGGGGATGTATGCGACAAGGCGGCGAAACGCATGCCAAGATACGCAGACGTTGGCCCAATACACGTGATTGTACACGTCTCAACTAAATACTAGTTTCAACCGTATGATGAGCGTCCAAGACAAATAAACCGTGATTGGTAGATTATTAGGCGGACTACGGAGAGGCTACATATATAGGACAACGTCGATCCGCCTGCTGTACGTCGGATATGATGTGCTCGTTACAGACCAACTTTCAGCTGTGTTCATTCGACCTCTGCGTTCCTCTACCCATCATCCAACGGCATTTCATCTCGTATTGAAGTTGGGACACGTGGACGCGTCACTCGGTTTCGGTGCACTCTACTACCCCTTGCTCCATTGCGGCACCTAACTGCAGTATGTACAAGACTTGTTTGTGCATTCGATATGAAGTATCCGCCCGAGCTACCACAACTGATTCCATGGGCTCAATCCGTCCTCGGTGCATGGAGATGCAGCAGTTGCACAGCATATATATTGCGCCGAATTCGGGGTCTTGTACATTATCGGCATTTTCACCATGGTTAACCATGGTGAACCATGGAGAACCATGGTTAACCATGGTGAAGTTCACCATGGTTGACCATCGTGGTTAACCATGGTTAACCATGGTTAAGTTCACCATGGTTGACCATGGTTGACCATGGCAAGAGTGACCATGGTTGTACGTTTTGGTACCCATGCGCAACTTTGTTTGAACCTGTCGGCGCACATGCATGATGAGAGTCTCTCCTCGTAGGCGTTACACTATGTTACAAATACACTCGGAGGATGATCGTCGTGACGTGAACTGTTCTAGTCAGGTATCAGGTAACTATAAAACAAATATTTGTAGGCCGTTGTTGTCGTCGTCGTCGTCGTTGTTGTTGTTGTTGTTGTTGTTGTTGTTGTTGTCGTCCCTTTTCAAAAACGCGCTGTTCGATGTTTCAGCCTCCGGCTCTGGCGAAGAGGAGGCAGACCAATGCACACAAGGGGCTGCGCGCCGTGTCTCGCGCACAGGGCACAGCGCGGCCGCGACGGTGGCGCAGTGTGCGTGCGGAGGTGGCGGCGCGGCGCAACCGGCTGCGCTACATAAAGTATAGGTAAATCAAATCGTTTATTGGGGGGGCAGATGCTGTGTGCAGCTGCGGTGGTCTGTCTGCTATAGAAACCTCACGGCTACCAATGAATCCATTGCTTTTTCCTTTCGCGTTGAGGGAGACCGACGCACAAAATACACTGCCCGCCGCGTCTGATGCCCAGCGCGGCCGCGGTCATGCCGCGTTGAATCTGCGTGGGTTGCTTAGCAACCAACTCTGCGGTACACAAGAAAAAAGGTGAAATCGGTTTCTTTGGGGTGCGCTGCTGCAGCAGCAGCTGCTGCTGTGCTGTGCCGATGAGGTCCCTGTCTTAGAACAACCTCACGGCTACCAATCCAGCGCTCCCCTTTCGCGCGGATAGAGACCGAGGCACGCAAGGTGCGGCACGCCGTGTCTCGCACCCAGAACGGCCGCGGTTGTGGCGCATGAGTGACACAGCAGCAG